TTCCACTTCGGGCGATGGCAAAATATTCGCGGCCACGGTTCGACCGGATTACACAGCAAATGACTCCCAATATGTTCCTTTGTGGTTTTAAACATCGCTTTTTTTTGCATTGCCATCACTTGAAGTGCGTTTTTTTGGTGCTGATGTTTTTTCTCAATACTTTCCTTTGCTTTTCTCATCATCAGCTTCTTGGCATTTCCGTTGGAGGTGGATTTCCCTGGGTGCTGCTTTGTTGCTCCGAACAAATTCGGGAGCCTTCGCTCCAGGCGCGGGGAGCGCGGCCCGAGTGGGACGACTCCAAGCAGGTCTCCTCTGCGCGGGCGCCGGTGCCCAGGGTGAAGCGCTGCCGCGCCTCGGCTTCGAGGATTTTGCTTGGCGATCGGTGCGGGAGATGGAAACAAGCGGCGTATCCGGGGAGAGTCCCAAACCTGGGGGAACCTGGCTTTGGTGCATGTTGCTTGGCTGTTCGGACTTTAGCTTTTTACCAACTAATGGGTTTTCCACTAAACCACCAAAAGTTAAACTTTTAGCAGGGGAGCAGAAAGCAACCGAGCTGGGACACTTGATCTGTAAGGAGGAAGTGTTTCCACTATGGTAACGGTGCTCGGAGCCGGGAGCTTCCACTGAAAGAGAGTGGGTCATTGTCTTGCGATCGGTGCGAGACATGTAGGGAATGAGGGAATGGAATGACCCCAAGATAAAGCATCCAACTGGTGTCCTTTAAGGGGACTGGGTTCATTCCCACATTCCCTGCTGAGCACCAGCAGGATTATTTGACCGCAGTTGCAACCAGATTCCACTCCTACAATTGGACACTTCGATTCAGGCGCAACCAGATTCCCCCCCTTTTTCAACCTTTTCTTTGTGTGGTGCTGCGTCTACCCTGGGAAATCCACCGCAAAGAAGCATGCGCTTTTTGTTCCCATGTCCACGCTTGCGAGGATCGGAGCGAAGGGTGGGTGGGTTGATGGACGAAACCAAGATGGGACTTTCTGGCTGTTCGATTGGGGAGTGAGTTGGAATGACGCCGAACTGAAAGCCCTTGCAGTTTCCTTGCCTAGGTTCATTCTTAGAATCTGTCCTGAGTCCCTACTCCAGCAAGCTTTGTCGACAGATCAATCGACCTGGCGGATTCTTTAAGGGCATTGCCAAAAAAAAGACGGGATAGGATTGCCTAGTCAATCAGGTTTGTTTTTCCTGGGTTCCCGGTCGGGTTTCTTGGAATCAGAATGAAGGATATGAAGGGTGGGATTTCTGCGAGGTTCGAGGGCGATGCGGGATGCGGGACGAACTGAACCACTTCTGGTTTCCATTTGGGGATGGGGATCGGAACCAGGAACAACCCAAAAAAGTCCTGTTTCCATTCGGAAGCACCCAGCCCCAGATGTCCTGCTGGCTGAGTTCCCTAAGATGTGCGCCCCTTGGAACTTCTAAGGCAGATGCTTTCTCAGCGGCCATGCCGGGATAAGATCATTTGCGCCACGAGATGGGTAAATGAAGTTTCATAGGGGGCAGTCCCAACCTTGAATTGACTCGTGACAGGACATGTCAATCAAATTTGGCTTTGCATGGCTGTTCTTGTGAAGCCCCCTTTGTGAACAAATGCCTCAACCCGTTGATCGTGTTCCATCGCGCGGACGGGGTTGTCCTCTATAGCCCCCAAAACGATGTTTATAAGGTGGGCGAGAAGTCAACCCCTCTTTTTTCTCCCTGAACCTACAACAAGTGTTATTTGTTTTTTTTGGAGGGGTTGTTGCAGCATCCTTCCCCCTTAAACATTCAACCCCGAGGGTCCAAGTGGTCGGTAGGGGCAGCTGCACCTTGAAGCGCAAGAGGCTCCCCCAGTGAGCCCAGGCCCCTTAGACCCCTTTTCACTCCCCCGAAGCCATCATGTGCTTGGACCCTCCTCATGTTCGCATTCAATCAGCTGCCAGGGGACAAGCAGGACCACCTCATGGGCGGAGTTTGGCGCGACCTGCCGGGCTCTTTGCCCTTCAACCCCAGCGCGAGGTATGAGGGTGTGCCCACCCCACGCACTGCGCGGGGCTATGTGCCTGGGCTCAAACTCAAAGACTTCCCTTCGGGTTCGAAATTTTAAACACTTTGACCCCCCCCCGCCCAACTGGGTCAACGTTTGGTACCACCTTGCATCTTTGCCCTTGACCAATGTGAAGGTGGCAGAAAAGATGTAAATCCTACGGTTAGGGTCGAACGTTGACCTGTTTCTAGTCAACTCCACAGGCGAGGGAGCAATGTGTTCTGTGCTGTTGGTGGGGTGTTTAGTGGCGGTCGCGGCTAAATAAACAACACGTAGATCCTCCAAAAACCTTGAGCCCTCAAACATTGGCAGTGTCCTTTTCAATCCGATGTTGTTGGATCTCTTAGCTGAGATTGCGAGGTGTTCAATGGTCAAAGTCTTGGTGTTGCCTTTCATCCCAAACATGGCAAGGTTGTCCTCTGGAAAAGGACAGATAAAAGTGACCCCAATAACGTCTTGGGTCCTTTTGGTTTTAAATTGTGCAGTGATCCCGTGGTTGTTGTTTGTGCGGCCCAGCCTCAACAGAACACCGTACTTTGCCAATACCAGGGATTGGACCAGAAACACCCATGAGCCATCCCTTCATTCCCACCCCTTAAAATTATACCTGGGTCCCTAAATAGATGGCACAATTCCCTTGGCAAGTAAAGGGACTAGCTGATTCACCACCTCCCCAGCCCTTTCATAGGATCAACTTCACCGCTTCTTGTGCACAGCCTTGCATGTGTGGTGTGTGGTTCGGGAAGAGGCCTCTTTCTGCGTCTCCATGTCATCCAGTGGGTAGAATCTCTGATCAGGTGTGTGCCCTTCTCAGGTGCAAACCAAGCCTTTACCCTTCCGAGTTTTCCTGTACCGTTAAGGTCGAACAGGGTTTCATTTCCAGGTCCTAGGGATGTGTGCCCCCAAAATGGCGCAACAGTTTTCCTTTTGGTTTCCCTTGAAAACCACAAACAAAAGGGTACCAACTCCACAAAAGACACCCTTACGTAGGGATCTCGCATCTCCGTTTTGCGTTTCGTCCGGCCCGTGTCGTGTTTTTCTTTGGCGTCTCCCGAGGCGGCCGACGCCCATGCCGCTCAGGCGGTGCAGTGGTTCGGTCGCGACAGCCGGCTGAGTCGGCGCGGCACGTCCTCCACGAGCTCGGTGCCGGCGTCGGGCTGAGTCGCGTCCATGCGAAGAACATCTAGGTTCCCCAGCTAGATGCCCTTTTACCGCTTCTTTATTTGGGGAGGGTTCCCCTACTACAATAGACTACAGAAAAAAGGGCACCCTTATTCTAGGAGGACATTGTACCCTGGGATTCAACCCCCCATGAAAAGAATGGCGAGGACCCAATTTTGATGATGAGAACCCTGAACGGTAATATTATTACGTTGCTTCAATGGTGATTACCCCCCATGAAAAGAATGGCAACGTCCCAATTTGGATGAGAATCCTGAACGGTAAATCATGGTAAACCCTTCATTGTTTTAATGGTGGCTTGAACCCCGGGGCTGTAGTAGAGCCATAGAAGTGGTGGACATGCATCTCCACAGAAGTCTGATGTCCACCTACGCCGATTAAAACCCAGACACACTTGCGTCAGTGAGCCCGGAAGCCCGATGGATGGGTGTTGCCGCAGAAGTAAAGCCCCTGACGATGGTGAATCACCAGGCTCCATGGGGGAAAAAAACAACTGCCCTCTTGCGCCTTCTTTAGTTGCCGACATTCTTTGGCAAGCGTCACACAGGAAGCCACAAAGGGCGTGGATATGTGTGTCTTGTTTTTAGGCGACCCCCCCAAAATGTGGGTTTTTCCTGTTGGTTTCCCTTTCAAACCATCCAAAAAGGGTACCCTCAACAGCAGACATACCCATGTGTTTGATCTGTTCAGACCCTAATTCACCGCTGGGCCACGCTTCTGAAGCTATGCAAAGCGCGACAGAGTTTTACCATTCGAAGTTTCACTGCGGAGTCTCTGAGAGACGAGCCAAAAAATGCAGCGGCTCCGAGAGCTGACGGGTCTTCAATGACTTTTGTTGCTTCAATGCTTGGTGCATTTCAGTCTTTCCCAATGTTGCGTGGGCAAAGCTTGGACAGCTTGGACTAGGGAGTCCTACTTTGGTTTGGCAGGTATCATAGTTACCCGTTCAGATGGTAAACTTGATGTTGTTTGTTGGTTGGTTTCTTGATTATTCCAGTAAAGGCCCAAAAAGTTCAATCTTGCTTTGGCCATTGAACTCCGCAAGTCAGCATAGGCCCTTTGTCATTCGAGCCAAGCGTCAACCGGCTGCGGGACACCTCGCTTAGTAGGAGTTTAATCAGCCGTCTTAGGGCCAAATAAGTTCGTGATTTGCCAAGTAAGGCCTAGAAGCCAAGCGATCGGGGCACTGTTGGTTTCATCGCGGTCATGGTCCCCTCCAGAGTAATACTTTAACAGGCCGTTTGGGTCGCTGGGAAATCAAAAGAATCCAGTTCGTGTGTGAATCCAATTCTAACAAGCGATCAGGATTTCTGGCAAGTACACGGGATCTTTGTCCACCGGACTTGGGATTGAGGTCCGACCATAGCAACATGGACACCTTTCACACCGGCAATCCTAGCATTTCGCCTCTCCACGTCGCCAAGGAACCCACCGAAGAGTCCCTTTTGGAAAGTTGTTCGTCCAGGATAGTTATGTTCCATGGCAATCTGGGGGGTTGAAAGGCAAAGCTTGGAAAGTTACCAGTGCCACATCACCTGGTTTACCGCAAAGGCACTGAGGTGTATATGTTTCGCTTTTCCACTACGCACCCCAAGGTAACACACTGCAGGCTTGCATTTGCTCAAGAGTATGTCTTATTTTGCCCTGCTGATGTTTTAAGGGGAATCTATCACTACTGGAAATATGTGGATTTTCACGGGAATCTACGTATCATTACTGGAAATCTGTTTTTGTTTTCCTCCAGCGGGCTGAATCAAGCAAATGGAAGGTCTCAGCTGAGGTACCACATCACCTACATCGTCCGCCTGGAGCGGCAGCGCTTCCTGCAGAAGCAGGCGGCGCACCAGGCGGGCTTTGCCACCTACCTCACGCGCCTCGGCTCGGTTCCGAGGAGGGACGCGCGGGAGGAGTAGCGGGCGGAGTAGCGGGAATGAGGGGCCGAGCGAGCAAGGGGGCGAAGAACCGGACCGGCCCGGCAAAAGCGCAAAAAAGACGGGCTGGTAGCAGGGAATGAGGGAGTCACCAAGAAAACCGCCCATCAAAAACGCAAAACAAACTTGGCTGGTAGCAGGGAATGAGGGAGTGAGACCCCTCTAAACCATTCCTTGTGGCTTTCTTTAAGGGGACCGGTGGAGTCCCACATTCCCTGCTGAGCACCGGCAAGAAAGGGGCGACTCAGAGACACCAGGAAATTTGACCAGGACCCCCCAGCTGTCAATGTTTTCTTTCAGTAACCTCCTTTGGTCTATTGCGGGAATGACCTGGAGTTCAGGCTGGCTTGTTTCTTTAAGCGCTTTTCGAGGGTCTCAAAGGTACGCTGTGAGCGGTTTCGCTTTCAAAAGGCGATTGCGTCACCGATCATTGTGAGCATGTCACTTGGCCGGGCCCTGTTTGAGCGGAACCCGAAGTCCAAGGTACCATCTCCCCACACCTGAAGTGGGGTTCCGATTTGTTCAACTTTCGTTGGAGCTTTAACATCAAGTATACTAAAGGGCGCCATGGGCATGAAAGATTTTGGGCCTCGCGCTGAAATTTAGCACCGGCACATTCCAACTTACCTGTCCAAGGTGCAATCTTTTGTTTGCCAAATGTGTTCATTTGGTTTAGGATGTTTAGGCCCAAACAGTGTAAGCACTTGTTCTAGCCAGTCCACTCTGCAGGTCATTACAATAAGCGCCCCCCCACCCAACAAATTGCTTCCAGTGGGACAATCAATCATGTGTCTGGGTGAATAATAACGACCTCACACGACCGAATTCACCCCAATGGTGGTTTATGTGGGGAATGGCCCCCAACCACCTTATTTCAGGCCGGTGAGCAGCCTCAAACTCATTTGGGTCCCAACCTTGTTGCCGCCCACTTTTGGGCCGACAGCTCGGACCGAAGCCAATGGCTCTGGGTCAAAATCAATGGGATCCCAGTTTGGGGGAGGTGCACCACCCACTTTGGTCTGTTTTAGTGGGGATTGGGATGTTCACTGGGGGTAATTACGGGCTTTTGACCCATGGCCATATGTTTTACCTACCACCCGTTTTGTTGTTGATCCTGTTCCCACCCTCCAGCCCTCCCTTGTCCAAAGCCGGCCTTTTCACCTTTTGCTTTTGGTCCATTTTTCGTCATTTCGGGGCCCTCCCCTCCCCTTCCTTTTTTTGGTGCAAACCACCTGCCTTTGTTGCATTTTGCTTGCATGTTAGGACTTTAACTTTTTGCCAACCAATGGGTTTTCCATTAGAACACTAAAAGTTAAAGTTTCTGCAGGGGAGCAGAAAGCAACTGAGCTGCCAAAGACGCGGGGAATTCGGTTTTCGTCTCCGCCCTCTCGGCTCGAACGAGACGTGAGGTACCGCTTCGGGCACTGGTACGCCTGGACGCCGGCGGCCTCGGTGAAAGTGCTGCTGGTGCTCTCAGCCACGCTGCTGGCGCCTCGTCACCTCGTCGCCTCGTCACGGAAAGTTTTCCACGCGAGCAGGGAAGCTCACAGGCAGCGAGCTTCCTGTGTGTTGAAGCATTTTGACCGTGGCTCATAAATAAGGAACCACTTTTGAGGAAGTTCATGCTCCTTCGAGCTTTGGGTTACTTAGTTATAATACCTGGATACCCATATGTGACGTTTTTTGTTTCTTCTTTTTTTTCTGTCCATACGGCTTGGATCACAAAAAAATGACCATACGGTTATGAACGGCTTTTTGTCAACAATTACACTTTGTTGAAACAAATACGGGTTGCATACGGCCAAATACGGCCACCGGCCAGCAAAAAAAGGCCCTACGGGAAAAATGAGCCAAATACGGGTTCCGTCCAAAAAAAACACCGGCCATGCGGCTTTCCAGGTACTCTTTACTTACCTCTCAAGAACACAACTTTTCAACTTTTGGGGTAACATGGGCTATATGTGTGTAAAAGATTAACTTCCCCAGGGCTTGGAGTTTTAAGGGGTAAGTTTAAGTTTGGCTGGACTGCTTTTATCCCCGAACATGGAAGTGGTCCACGGTTTTTCGGATCCTGCGCGGGCATGGCATTTCCGTCAGGTGGCCGGCGGCTTGAGCCACAGCGCGCTGTCCCAGTCCTCCATCCAGGAGACGTCGATTTTCCTGGGCAAGATCCTTGCTTTGGGTTTAGGATTTGGTCTTGCCAGTCATTTTCCCATGACAGCTGCTTAAAAACCACCCCTTGTTGCCTACCTGGGCCTTTGGGGGAAGAAATCCTGATTTCTGATCCAAAAGTTTTTTCCATCCTCATCCAAACTGGACGATCCGCAATCATCCACCATGATGGGCTTCGGCTTCCTTTCTCCAAAAGAGCCAGCAACAAGGCCACCCAACCAGAAAAAAAAGCCAGCGCCACCCCATTTCCCCGCCGAATTAATCCCGGGTCGCCCCACCATGTTGCTCCCTGTCCCACCACCTCGCCACGCCTCCGCCATGCCTCCGCCATGCCTCCGCCATGCCTCCGCCATGCCTCCGACGCCCGCCGCGAGGAGTCGCTGTGGCGGAGTTGGATTTGGATCGCGGACCCGGACGGCGGGGAGTCCGCGGAGCCCGGGGGCCACGCCGTGGGCGTGGTGGTCTCCATCGGCGCCTCGAAGGAACGAAGGCCCAAAGGAGCCACCGGGGGTCGTCTGGGGGGGGGGTTCTGGGGGGGGTTTCTTTGGCAGCACCCGGAAGTCAATCCGAACACGTACCAGAAAAATAGGGGGTAATGACCAAAAATGTTGTTTTCTCTTTTTCCTTCTTTTTGTTTTTCTGTTTTTTAGGGGTTTTGGGTTTATAAGATGGTCGTGAGTTTGGCTCGGGCATGTTGGGATGGTGATGCAAAGGGAAACCGAAAGAAAACCACCCAAACATTGGTTCCATTATTTTGGAGTCACGCCTGTTACCAGCGGAACTCTCAAAATGGGGTGTCATGACCATGGTCGCCTACGTTCTGAGTAATTCGTTTGAGCTTCAAAGCAATTGCTGGTATTGGTAAACCCAAGCCACAAATAAGTTTGCATATTAACCCGCAGCCCGTTCAAGAAATTCAACCCATTTAAAAATTCGCAGGGACCTTACTTCCAGCCCCTGGGCTTGAGGAGTCATCCTGTTTGGACCACCAGGGGTTGCCCAGTGGATGTTGTGCTTTTTGGACCTCTTCGCTGGGGATGCCTGGGTTGCGGAGAATGATTTGGCCCTTGGGTTGGGAGGATAAGTCTGTCCGTTGCTTCTTTTCTCCTTAGATTTGCCTTTTCCACCCAGACCCCAAACAAACCAGCTGGGGGGTTCATGTTCAGGTGGATAACCTCAGAACCTCCGACTGGGGATCCTCTTGGAAAGTATCTCCAAGAAGGCATTCTTCGCCTCTTTGGGTTTCTTGCGTTTGCTTATATGTTTTATTATTTTGCCCTGCTCTTCGGGGGAATCTATCACTGGACATGTGTAACATATGTATATGGGTGTGGCTCAAAATTAAGCAGGAGGGGCAAACCGCAGGTTTTGGTCCATGTTTCCACTTACCAGGGCAACCCATTTTGGAATTCCGATTTTTTTTGAGCCACCGCCATATGTATATACGTATATATATATATATGTATAAATTGTCCACGGGGCTGAATCAAGGGTTTGGCTCCCTGGAGCTCAGGGGGCATGCTGATCTTCGCGCTGCTGCTCTCGTTGATCACCTCTGCCTTCGAGGACTTCTTGTGGCAGATCCGGCACGGGTCCATCCCGGTGGTGGAAGGCGCCGAGGGCTTTGCAGGGCTCCTTAAAAGATACATGTTGCAACCATTTGAAACATGGTTTTTTCCATCCAAATAAAGGGAAACCAACATTTACAAGGCAATGTTCAGGTGTATAATGTAAGGATCCCTGTTTTGGTCTAGCTAATAGGGAGCCCCCCTCAGAAACGAGAGGATTTTTTTTTCTCCCGGCCCGTTTCTGAAGAGCCACAGGCTTCCTAGTGGGTGTTTCGCTTTTTCTGGTTGGTTTAATGGTTGGGCTTCTGAGTTTCACCTGAAAGCTAAACTTTCAGGGAATCTGAGGATAGCCCAGAACAGTATGTGCAGTTCCCAAGAAGAAACATGGGCCATTCTAGTGGTGCTACTACGTGGGTTTCGAAGGGTTGTAGTAAGGCTCCTGGGCGCTGCTCATAGTGTATCTTTGGAGTGTACTTTTCTTGCTGGTGCGATAAGTAGGGAATGAGAAATGAAATGAACCTGGGGATTCCCGAATATGGAAAGAAACTACCAGTTGGATGGCTTTTCTTGGGTTCATTCCATTTCTCATTCCCTGCATCTCTCGCCTGTTTGTTCCGTTTGTTCGGTTTGTTCTGTCTGCTCTGCCTGTTCTGTCTGGGCTAGGCGTGGTCTGTCAGGTATGGTCTGGTCTGTCTGCGCGGTTGTGCGCCCACGACTTGGCAGGGTAAAAGTCACCCTGCATAAGGCAGCTAGTCGGCTGGGGGGGCGCAGCACATGTGGAAACAAAAACCGCGTGCGAGACGTGTTTATGGACGTGTATGTCTTGTTTAGGATATTGATTTGAGTGTAAACCCGGACCCTCCAAAATCCCATTAAAAAAAGAGCTAGTTGCCCCACGGTTATGGGCTGAATTCCTTTTTTTTTGTGGTTTTTGAGGGTTCAGGTACATGTCAGGTGGAACTGCCGGCGCATCGCACAAGTACGTCAAGCCCATCCTGCGCCCAGACTCCTGGTTTCCAAGTCCCTCAAACCACCTTGGGGGAAACACCGGTTTTATATGGGGCATACATACCCTATGGCTCCATTTTGGGGTAGGGTAGGTGCACCACCAATTGTTTAGTCTATTTTAGTGGGGTTTGGGATGTTCACTGGGGGTACGGGCTTTGGACCCATGGCCATATGGTGGCGTGGTTGCAATTATCCCATGAGAGTCGATCGCATCCCACCTGTCAGGCGATCACATCGTGATTTTGGGCTACGATAAGTCAGCGATCACCATGATCGAGGAGCCCGGTGCCAGTGGATTAAATGGGCTTCCATGTTCCAACCAAACAGGGAAATGTTCAATCTGGGAATGGCTGTGTGTCTTTTTTGGAGTTGGTACCCCTGTGTACCCCTGTGCTGCCGGGGGGAGGGGTGGATAAAGCGGGATGCCCAAACAAGCAGCCCCGCCTGGTGTTCCTCTTCAAGACATGCCCCATGGGGCCAAGAGAGAAAGCTGCGGCGTCACAAATGACGTCAGGTTCGGTCAGGTTCACGAAGTATCTGCTCTGGCCGGCTCCAGCGGAGACCTCAAGAGATCCTTTTCACCTCCCTTCAGAATGGCCATGAGTTTAAAGAGGTTTTACCCTCCAAAATGGCTGACCCAACCAATTCAGATCATCCCACAAAGTTAAGGATGATCTCTTGATTTCGTCTTGTGGCCCACCCCCAACCCGAGAGGTGGTCCGGGGTTGTGTCAAAATAGGAATCGGAACCCTCCAAGTTTGGCGCGCCCGAAAAGAAAGCACACACACACACACCGCACCCAGACCCCCCCCCCCCCCGCCCCCCCCCCACCCACACACACACACACACAGACATGCTGATCTACCCGTGATTTGGGTTTGCGAGGCCGAGCCCAATTTCCAGTTGGCACCGGAAACATCCGGCGCCGCGAAGGAGCTGTGCAGTGCAATGGAGACCTCCGGTGGAGGCCTCATTGCAATCCTTGCACCAGAGGCCTGGGTCGGTCCAACAAGAATCTTCCATTTGCTGGATACTTGTTGTTTTCCCCGGTTGGTGTTAAAGGGAACCCCCTCCAACAAAAGCCTGAACACAACTAGCGGAGGGCTACCGTTCGTGATCACTGACACATGACGAAGTTGTTCGCCATCATTGCTCCGTCAAAACGCCGAGGTTTGCCAAAGTTGAGAGGCCTTCTTTAGCCTGGCAAGTCTCCCCGCAATTTTCTTGGGGCTTCGTCATTCGGGTCGGTGCCCTACCACCTGACGTGTCGTTGGGTGAATCGGTCCTGGTTTGGACCATGATGCTTTTAAAGGGACCAGGTCCCTTTAAACGTCAGGTTCCATGTTCATTGGTAGGGTATATGGGTTTGTCTGGAAATGGACCTGGAAACTGGCCAGATTCCCGTGTCAGTTGGGAGCGTGAACTTCATTGGCTCATATGGGGGCATGACAAGATATAGTGCCTAGGACCCGACAAAGATGCCGTCCCCTGCTTTGTTTTAAGGGCTTCCGCCGCATGGACATGGGTAAACAGTGGGCCTTGATGTTGTCGAGGGGTCGAAATGGTCGCAAGTTGACAGACGCAGCCAATTCACTGCGTGCTTCCAAGGCAAGCGGCCGAGACCAACGATCTGCCCTTGGTTGCTCGGAGATTTCAAGCAACTGCCACATCACAAGGGTAGGAATGGTATTGGCATAGGTGTCATTTTTTTTAATGTTATTTGGCCAGAAAGATTTGGTTCAGCTTGTTTCTTTTTATTTATCGGGGGCATCTATATTTCCAAGAGGCCACATGGATATTGGGCTCCTTCATTTTTCCAGGGACCAACTCTCTCCCTTGAAGGGCCAGATGGGAGCATTTCTTGCCAGGGCAAAGTGGAGGTTGAACGATGCCTCCAAGATGCCGACGTGAAGTTGTGCGGGCCCCAAGTGACTGGTTGCTGAAGTTGTGATTGGTTGCCCTTGGCGGGGTGAGCGAATATGAGTTGTAGTGTTCACGGATTGTGCACCTGTTAGTTGCTAGTTGAAGATGATCGTCCCAACCAACAGTCTGCCTCGAAAATGGCATGGGCCAGAGCGGTTAGGGTTGGAATACATGGCTTATGTTTACAGGTATTTGGAATTTTCACACAACTCAATATAGGGGAACCCCAGAATTTGTGGTTTCCTTTTTGGTTTCCCTTTCAAACCATCCAAAACGGGAACCCTCAGAAAAGACACCCATTTACAGGTGACTCAAAGTGAGACCTGACCACAAACTGCAACCTTCCTGCCTTTTTCTTTGGTAAGTTGGGGGTGTCCCCAAATGGGGTGGGGGGGGGGAAAACGACTGCGCAGTTCCCGTAAACCCCAAATCGGTTTCAGCATTTTGAGCCTTCTTCTTGGTATGATTAAATATTGTTTCTTCTCATAATAATTGTTAGTCTTCTTGTACTTGTTTTCCTCTTCTTATGTTTTTCATGTTTTTGTTTGTCTTTTCTTGCTTTGTATTCTTCTTTGCGTTCTTTTTTTCTTGTTCTTCTTCTTTGCATTGCTTTCCGATTCATTTTGTGTCTTTCTCCTTTTCACGAATTTGGCTTTTGCAGCGTTCCTTCTGCTGATTGCAAGAAACATGTTTTGCCGTAACATTCCGCGGGTGAAGTCCTCCAGATGTGGCAAAAACGGCAAAGTCCTTCAAGAAGGATCTCCTACTGTCCTTTCCTTTGGTCAAACATGACCCCGTGCAAAAGGTGAAGAAACCCAAAACCGGGTGAACGTGTATCTCCTTCAGCCATTGGCATGTTTTCCAATCCTTTGGTCCTCGTTTCGTCCAGGCGCAACTCTTCTGTGGTGGTCCGCTCAGGGCAACCGTACAACGAGGAGGAGCGAATCGATGCTCGTGTTAGGTGTCCTCTCCCGGTCGGATCCCCGAAAGGACGGTTGAAGGGAGGGCTTTTCACCGATAAGCCATTATGTTTACCATGACATGGCCACCCCAATGCCACCAGAGGGTTTGCAGGGCACCTGTAGGGCACTCTTTTGGTAGGATGATTTGTTGCCCCCTCTCTTGTTGGTAGGCTCGGATGGTCGGGAATCCCAGGAACCGGTCGGGTTCCCTGGTCCCCAGGCTTACCCTTTGGAACCCTGGAGGCAAAGAAAGGGACCCGATCTGTGTGGTAAGCCTTGGCGATCAAAAGCTTCCCTCCGGCGCTTGGGCCTTCTTGAAGTGGGTGAGAACCTGTTTGGCCCAAAAGGGACGCTCTCTTGACAACAGCCCTGTTGCGCAGTGGTTTCCGCCCTTGTCCCTTTTCGGTTGGTGGGAGACCTACATGGAATCAACACCTGGGACCAGGGATGGGTGGGCCACTTCAGAAGACCAAAACTTCGGACGCTTTTCCGTTTCCGGTATGGATGCTTGATGCTGCGTTGTTGTTCCCCCATCAGATGTCAAGCATGGTGCACATTCGAAAGGAAGGCCGGTTCCAAAGCCTGTGCAAGTCATGCGACTTAGTTGGAAGGTTGGAAACACCATGCTCCCGTTGATCAAGGGACACAAAACGGTTCAACACTTTGACACATTGGCACGAGAGGCTGAATGGTCACACTCTGCCCAGAATTCCTTCGGATAACCGGCCGTCAATCTCGCAAACATGCGCTCGCGCCGTCACCACCACTTCCAACAGCACCCCAAACAACACCCCCAAACAGCAGCTACACCAGCACTCCAAACTGCACGCCCCCGAGCACCAGCCCGTCAATCTCGCAAATCATGTTCGCCTCTTTAACAGAAGTTAGAACCCCTATAGCTTTCAGCTATTTGGGAAAAAAGGTGTGTCTTTTTGTTGATCCAGTACAGTCACGAACAATTTGAGTCCGGTCTCTGAGATTGCTCAGCCACACAAGCATAGCCTTGCGGCCTTTTTGGCCCCCTTTTTATCAGAGTCCAACCCCGCCCGAGCCGAACTTCCGGCCTGAAACTTTCCGGCAACCAGGGGCCCAGCCAACCCTGACCAACAAAAGCATGAGGCGATTCCCTCGACCAGTGGTGCTTTTGGGTGGTTTTGCGTTAGTGAGGAGTGCACACGTGTCACATGTATAGGTGGGAGTGTATCTGTGGTTCCTTGTCAATCCAGAGGCTTCGCGCACTAGAGGACCCGGCCCCAGTTTACCTCTTGTCAGGAAAACTAAAAAAAAAACCAACCATCCAGCACCCAATGGCTGTCAAATGATATTTGATAAGTGAGCCGCAATCAAAACCCGGGCAGATGAAGGTTAGTAAGGGACGATCCCAACCATAAATAGCTGCGGCCGCCTTCTCAATCCTGTACATGGTTCTGGGTAGACCATGTTAGTACAAGGCTTTGATTGCGACTGAAGTGACCTTCTTTGGGCTATTTGGGGGCTGTTTGAACAGTCCCTGGGCCTTTTTGCACCCTTTGAAACACCCATCCGGGGAGTAGCTCACCGGAGTAGCTCAACAGGACGTCACGCGAGTGGCGGCGCCTGCCCGAGATGAGGGGATCGGGCGATCGGGCGATCCATCCGGGTGATGTCCGGTGTATCCGGATCCTTCCGGTTCATTCCTGAACCCTTGTCACTTGTCGTGCTTTGTTGCTCTCTATGGGTCAAAACCCAAATCGTACCCCCAGTGAACATCCTCCCCGCTACAATAGGTTCTAAAATGGGTGGTGAATTCACCTACCCCAACATGGCACCATTGGTGTTGTCCCATGGCCATATATTTCATATCCATATCTCTTTGTACCTGATTTGGTGGCATGTCGAATGCAACAGTCAATGTCATTTCCAAAACACAAACATGATCCCCTGCGAACCAGCAAGTTTCAAGCTGTTTCCATTGATTCCATCAGCCCAGCTGCTCGTTTGGCTTCCCGTTTGACCTACTTACATGGGCCAGCTAGTTACGTCAGTAACGCCCAAGCGTACCCTGAAACCTTTGTGCACGTAATGCTAACCATGAGCCTCCAGACCCTCAAGTGGAGGATTTGAAGAAGACAAAGGGCATGGGTCCCTCACAGAGGGCAACTCACCACCTCCGGTGGGTCCCCTTGGTCCAAAAAGAAGCCCAGAGGCAAATCCGCACTTCTTGGATCCCCTTATTTTCACACGCAAATCAACACCAGATCCAAATCTATTTTTTTTCTCCAGTGGCTTGGACAGAGGTTGGGACTTTCGAGTCAAAAACTCCAAGACATGCCCACGGTTTCCCATTCCTAGGTGCAGACTGCACGGCGCATCGTGGTGCTGGCGAACAAGGCGGTGTCCCGTGAGGCCCCGCGGAGCGTTTTTGGGCGACGCGCGCGGGCTGAGACGTGGATAGAGCTGGTGGAGGTCCAACTGGTCCGGTGGATTCAAAATTTGGCGGTGTGTCAAAAATGGGGTAACCCCAAAATGGAGCCCTGCAATCAAAGGCTAAAACCTGCGGTTTTCTGATTCAAAATTTGGCGGTGGGTCAAAACGTGCCCAAAATGGAACCCTGATGCAAAGACTAAAACCTGCGGTCCAATTCCTGGTGGGTTTATTATGATACCCATTTCTCGGTTTGTGAGTTGTAGCAATTGGCCCACTTAGGGGACCCTTTCGGAAAATGTGCCCAACCCCAGTGGTTTTTTGTTGTTGTTTTTTCGGGGCATTCTCAAGCTGAGCATGGGGGAAGGGTGGTACCAGTACTTGTCCTCACTTTCCCAGTTGGCCTCAAGCTGTTTGGGAAGATGTCAGTGTTAGACCAAAAGTCTGGCTTCTTTGGACAAATCCACTCCCTACGAATACATTGGTGTCCTTGTGGACAAAGACGCTTCCTACAAATCCACTCTTGCAAGCGTAGCTGGCCTTCTGGCCGAAAACATGGGGTCCTTACGTGTCCCTTAGAAATATATTTGTAAAGATGTGTGCAGCATATAAGTACATATCTATATATATATATATATATCAATCGATTGGCAGTTTCCTGACCCGGGTGCAATGGACGAACATAGGTGCCCTTTCAGGTGGTTTCAATGGGGTTCCCCACCTCCAAGTGACATGAATCCCGATTCCTGTCCCGTTTCCCCTTAAAGTTCACACCCAGATGGTATGGTTTCAGTTTGGTTTCAGTTGCCACTTCAAATTGGCGTGCCTCGAATCGAGAAGCCGTTTGTTGAGTTAGGGCCAGGACCCGCGGTTTGGGTTGCAAAAGGCAACTGCTCAATCAAACTGAGTTAGACTGGTTGCGTTGTTGATTCGCCCTTGTGTCAGGGAAGAAAGGAGGCCAGACCTCCAGGATTTCACGGAGACAAAACTCCATTGCCAGACTTAGCTTGCCGTGTTCGCGGTTTGCCTATTGTGTGTGTATCCTCTTCCCCAACCACAACCAACAAGACGGTGTCACTTGTTTTGCCGGGGAGCGGATCAGTGGCAAAGATTCCAAGTCCTTGTGGGGGGTCGCGTGGCTGTTTTCTGCGAGGAAGCCGACGCGCAGACTTTGAATGTGCTGCTGACGCTGCAGGGGCTGAACTATTCACAGGATGCCAAGGACCTCGTGTCGTAGCCCAATCCTTGTTGCCTAGTGGTGCCATTTTTCCCTTCTTTTGGGGAAGGGTTCCCCTTGAATCTCAACCAACAAAAAAAGGATGTCCTTTTTCTCCCATGGCCACTGGGCATCTGAGAATCCCTGACTTGGTTGAAAGTGGACGGATTCCACGAGAATTCCCCGGGGCTTGAAAAGACCCCTACACCACTCTTCTCAGTGGGGCTTGTCTTCCCTAACCCTCACTTCTATGATTGGAAAGAGGGTAGCACTTCGATCTTTGGTTATTTGGGGGGTTTATACAGGGCTGTTCTGCGTGCAGCTTACCCAAATCAAAGACCAGGCCCGGCCCCTTTTCCGGCCCCTTTTAAAGTGGTGGTTTTCAACGGAAGCAAAAACCTCACCTCTCTGCGGGCCAGGTGATCCCTTCAGCTTTCCCCGTGTTTCAAACTATCAACCTTTGGGGTCCACGCGAAGCGAAGCACACACAAAGCAAAACACTTGTAACAACTTGCTTCAAAAGAAGCGACTGTTGTTGGTATGCCTTTAATTGGCGAAAGAAGAACCCCTGATGTCACTGTTCAGTGGTTTCTTCACGATTGCTTGTCAAATGCGGCTTGAAATCCTGGTTTCCACCACAGCCGATGTAATCCACCGGCGAGGACAGGTGTACCATCGTGGAATGCTGTCTCGCGGGGGCCTCGCTCATTGACTCAAGTCGCGGTGCCCCATTTTGATCACAGCCTGTTTCCGTGTTGCTCTTGCCCGTTCAGTCTCCAAACTTTGAAAGCCTTTTTCTCGTCAGGTTTCTTTGTTTGCCATTTTTTGAGGCCAGTCAACTCTGGTCGCTGTTTGGCGGCACTCTTGAAATCCCATGATTTTTGCTGGATGTTTCACAAATAGAGTCGCCCTCAAACAAAAAAATAGGGGAGTCAACTTGCCTGGCCAGCGTTCCTTTCCTTGGGCAGTCCAGGTTAGCAAGCATTGCTGATCTAAAAGCAGCCTTTCAACAGCCACAGTCGAGCGGGTATTTTGTGACTATAAGATTGTTGCAAGCTGACCCGCACGGTTGCTGGGGGCTAGCAAATGGATGAAATGTGGGTTTTGGACCTACCACTTGACGTTTGTCCATGAAAAGCGGGCCCCCCGTGACCTTTGAGAAGGACTTCTCGAAAAAAGACGATTGATTGTTGCAGTGCATCAAGCTTAGCATGGGGTGTGCCAAACGAGTCCCAAACGAGGTGGCAAGCAGATCAAGAAGGATGGTTGAAACGCATGGTTGGAAACTGCCAGGAGAAACCTGATGTCATAGAAACCCAGGATCAACAAAGCCCTGGTTGATTGAAAGCAGGGGTGTTTCATTTTAAGAGGGAAGCCTTTGCTTGTTGGGAGATTCTATCCCCAGACAAACCTTGAACCCTGACAGGAACAATTCACATGGCATCGTTCACAAATTGGGAACATTGTCGTTCCAAATAAATGGGACTCTTGTCTTTCCAAATTGCGATATTTGCAAACATGGGAGCCTTGACAAAGGGTGACATGGATACTTGTCCAATAAGTGAGAATGGTGTCTTTCCAAAAGTTGGAATGTGTCCATTCATGGGACTGTTTCCAAACATGGGAGTCTTGACATAAACGATGGACATGGGTATGTCTCCAAGTGGGACTCGTGTCTTTCCCAAACGGGATTTTTTCTAAACATGGGAGTTTGGACAACAGTTGGCATGGGACTTTCCCCCAAAAGATGAGAATGCTGTCTTTAGCACGGGAGCATTCCACATGGGATCAATTACCAGCCCTTGTTGTTGCTACCCTGAACCCTGACAACAATTAACATGTTCTTTTCTTCCAGACATTGAATCTTGTCTTTCCAGGCATGAAAATCTGTCCAAACATGGGAGTCTCGACATCAACAATTGACATAAATTTGTTTTCCCGAGCATGGGCGTCGGCCTCGTGTGGGGGGGTGTCTCGTTTTATTTAGGAGACCCCAACTTGGCATTGTTGTTTCCTGTTGGTTTCCCTTCAAAACCGACAGGGGGCACCAGCTTGTTTAAAAGACACCTCCGCAAGAGGGGAGTACCAACTAAAAAAAGAAAAAACGAGCCACCCTTCTTCTCTTAGGTGCGGAACCAGAACCTGTTCCGCTCCCTAGCGGCAGGCGCAAGATCACACCAAAACGCGATCAGGTTTGGATGATGACTTTTCTGTTTTGTTTGATGTGTCTGTGTTCGATCTGGAATTTGCCTTTGTGACACTCGCTGCAGTATCATTCGATCTTGGTTGGACTACTCCCTTGGGAGTTTAAGTGTGCGTGTGTATGCGTGTGTGTGTGTGTGTTGCTTTTGTTTCTGTTGATTGCGGTTTCGTTTCTTCTCTGTGCAGCTTGTTTTGTCTGGGTTTGTTCGGGGTTGTATGGCAAGCCTGGCAAACCATGCTGCTGATGATTTGCCACGGTGGGGGGATGCAATGGTTGAAAGGAATGGAAAAGGAAGTCAACATCTACCCTTCTTCCCAGTGCACATGTGGAAAGATACCTGCCCAAGAGAACCATCTTACTTGCGAACCTGGGAAACACAGGATCACCTGTTGGACTGCCAATCTTTCTGCGATCCTTCTGCTCCGGCTCTTTCAAGGCCAGACCCCTTGTACCATCAAGACCCAAGCAAGGGGCAAATGGTAAAACAGAGGGGACATCTTTGCTTCAGCCTATCGAGAGAAAGTCTTTGAACCGGGCATCAATGGAAGTGAGTGGCCCCAAGAAGCCCAAGCTTGTTGTATTACGTGATCTTTTTAGAAATATGAAGTCGAGAAACTTATCGAGTCATCCGCCACCCCTCCGTCAGTGCCTATTCCAATCCCCGCGAACATTCAGGAGTTTTAGAAAAAGCTGGCATTTCCTCTGGATGTGGGTGGTTCTTTTGGGAGGGTATACGTGCAAATGAAGGGACGGAACCCCTTAAAAAAAGAGTCCCCAAATAGGCGATTCCTTGACCTGATGGTTTTCGTGGTGACTAGGCGCTTTTGTTGGCGTTCCTAGCCTTCGCATTTCGCCTGTCGCCGCCTTTCAACGAGCGTGGCGATTTCGCGATTTCGCTTGCGTTCGGCAGGACCCATGCAGGTTTTGGCGACGCAGGCGCGGGGTGTGCCCCCTTCGTTGGGCATGGGTTCGTTGTGTGGGATCGCTTTTGATTGGATGGGTGCCCCTTTTGGCTGGGCTTTAAAGGGACGATGCCATTTTGGGGGGTCCAACACCTATCAAGAAGGGCACCAAAAAGCAGGGTGGGGAGAGTAAGTTTTAAAGTCTGGACGGTAATATCTAAACGAAACATAAATCCAGGGGATATCAACAGCCCCAAAGCTGATTTCCCCAAAGCTTCCAGTTGTCGGGGAGTTCGTTTTGTTTCCGAGGGCTTCTTTTGGCAAAGTTTGACTCGGCCTCCCAAAAGTTCGGACAACCCTTGCATTCACGATGAAGACCCCTGCTTTGGACATCGCATGTGATGTTCACGGGATCGCTTGTGAGTTCACCGGAAAAAAAAAACTCGTCCGTTCACGCTTATTTCACGGCCAATTCACAACACCAAATGCCTACATGATTTTCATAGATGTCAGGGACACCTGCTTTGAGCAGCACATTGCCGCTGTTTTCCGACACATGGACGACCCCTCCAAGTAGAAAGGTTAGCGTCCATGGAAGCATGCATGCTTGACAAGTTCCAGCCATACCCACTGATTGCATTTTCCGGTATAGTAGCTCAGTTGTTCAGTGGCACCAATTCTTCTTCCCTTTTCTTTTGGTGGCTGCCTTCCTGAAACTGGGTTTTCCCCCAAAAAAGTTCCTTTTTTCCCAGGGTCACAGAACAACTGAGGTATAGTACAAACCACCAAGGAATTCAAAGAAACCAATTAAAACCAGTTCCAGTTCAAGGAAACCGCCCCGAACGGAAAAAGAAAAAGGACAAAGAAAACAGCTCAAAAAAAAGAACAAGAATATGTAACTGGGATCCACCGCGAGCTTCTTCACAGAACGAAGTGAAACTTAACCGCCACTTAATCGGCAACAGGTCCCAGCGGATTGACAAGACCCATGAGGGGCAGGCTGAACAACCCGGTTGACCCATGGAAAGAAAGAAAGATCAAACAAAACGCACAATATGTATATATGTATACATATATGTATTGTTGCGCAACAAAAATACAGATGGGTTGGAGTCATCCAACCCCGGCAAGGATCTCTTTTGAAGCTATGTCACACCTTTTTTTTGCGAAGCGAAGATGGTCGGGTGTGAAAGGCTGGGGTAGATTCGTAGGTTGATTCTGGGGTACCCTCCAACCACCCCCCAAAGACAACTCCCCCAACCTTTTGGCTCTTTTTGGAAGCAACGTAAGTGTTTTCGCACTAACCAGCAAAGCGTGGCCTCCCACCCAACCTTAGCCCCTTAGCCCACCCCCACCGCTTGCTACAGGGGGCAGTTGACGCAACTCGATTTCACTGAGGATTTCATCGGCCAGCTGTTGGTGGAGGCCAGTCGTCAGCGACCCTCGGCGAAATTTGTCGCTGGTTTGGCACCTGCCAGCCGCCGGGGGAGGCGGGGGGGATGGGCGTATCTCCTGATGTTTAAGCAGGGCCAAGGTGTTTCTTGGCAAATGCCTCCAATGACTCAACTGGAAGGAGGTTCTTCAAATATGTTGAATTCTTTAAGTGGCGATTTGACTCAAATTTTATCATCGGACCAGTCCAATGGACCTATTTCCCCTGGCGCAGTCCCATGTCATAGGGACCTATTCCCCCTCTCCTCTAAACCTGGTTGTTGTTGGGAAACATTGTACATTTTTGCTTATTGTGGTTGAGTGGGAATTCCCCACTTAACTGCTAAAATTTAAGTTTTTGCTCCCCTTCCAACGTCAACCAAGTAAACCCTCCACAATGCCCTTGGTAATCCCCCTTGCACGCCTCCTTGTTTCCCTCAAAGACGCAATTGGGGGTTGAACAATATTCCTGCCCCCAAATGACCATGGGTAACTTGTGCCACTTGGTGGGAAGTATCATCTTGCTTGCGGTGTTCCCCATGGTCATCCCATGTAAAAGAACTTTTGAGCAGCCCCCACATCAGACCTTCTCAAGAGCTTACATGCGGGGACCCGCCATGGGCACGAGTTGATATGTTGTTCCACCCCCAAAAGCACATCCCGAAAAGAGGAGAACGTGTCCACTGCTTGGGATCTGAAAAGTGAAACTTCTAGTTTGTTTCTCCAGGTTAAAGTTATCTTACAAGAGTGGGGTTCCCTCTGGTTCATCACACCAACCAGGCAACAACTGGTAAATGCCTTGAACATTACACGCATATCAGCAACGGACAGTATTACCCGGCTTACCATATATTGATTCGTCCATGTCCTTCGGTTTCTGGTAGTAGTCTTCAAGTATGGAGTTGCACTTGTCATAGCGAGCTCACCCATCTGGGGTAAACCAACTCATCCATGAAAGCCGCTACTCCTGAATGCAGCTCGATGAATGAGTTTATTCATGGTTTGGATGCGATTTTTCTGGATGACTCATTTTGATTTTTCTGGATGAGCCAAACGGATCCATCCGAAGAACTCGGGCTCGTTTTTTAGTCCTCGTCGAGGTGCAGACGGATCCATGGGGGTTCCTGCGCTCCGGGCCCGGAGCTCCCCGCGAAGCTCCCCGCGCTGAGGTGGCCTGTCGCAGGTGATCAGCCAGACCTTGGGCTTTGACGGCATGGAGCCGGGGACCCCGGGCCGAAGAGAGAACGAGCGAGCGGAAGGCAAAGGCGAAGCCGAAGGAGACTCATTGGCCTAGAAGGAGAGTCCTGGCTTGGCAGAAGCCCCTCTTGGAAGTTGCCAAAGTGGGGGATTTTGATGGAAACCACCTGCAAATTGATCAACTTTGTGTCCCCCGTCTATTAATGATAGTCTTGTGGCTGACTTTTTGAGGGAAGAGCGGAAATGGATTTGAATGCTTTTTGTGCCGGAAGGTGACGGCCCTAATTTACCGCCAGATGTCGCTCACCTCTTTGCCCGCTTTGCATTGCTTTGGGGGGTTCCTGCATTTTCCCTGTTCACCAGTCAAATGTTCGGCGCTTTGGCAGGCCGAGCTGGCTTTGTTGCAGGCCAGGGTTTCATGGAAACTCCGAAGCCCGAAGAAAGATCCCCAAGAGGGGCCGGCCTCAGGGGCCGGTCTCGGGGGAACCCACAAAAACAAGCTGCCCACGCCTGGAGACCCCGGGTGTCCTGTGTAATACGCCTATATTGACCCAGCTGCCCAGTGGGTTGCTTCCGTTTTTCCTTTTTTTTGGGGAAGGGTTCCCCTGTAAAGTCAACCAACCAACAAAGGATGCCCTTTTTTTCCCATGGCCACTGGGCATCTGAGTTGACGTGGAACCCCCGAACCCCTGATTTGTAGAGGAAACTCCTTTCGAGGGACCCTCTTTCTGGGGCAGTCCGTGGCACAAGTAAGTGGCACCGACGGTTCTTGAGCCGTGGCTTGACCCGCTTTGCAAAAAAATGCTGACCGAATTCAACTGCAAATCGCATCTGCAGCTCTGGAAACGCCGCGGGGGATGTAGCAACTCTAGCTTTGGAATTCTGCTGTTCGGCTGCCTAAGTTCCTTGCTGGTTCTCAGCAGGAAGTGAGCGAATGACCCAATTAAATCTATAAACCATCGCCTACAAGTTCATTTAAGGGAATCCCAGACCGTTCATTCCAAAATGCTGGGTCATTCCGTACTGAGCACCAGCAAGGTTCAGAATTGCGAATTGGTTGTGTCTCCAAATATGGCGACCTCAAATGCCAAGCTGGCAGGCTTCCCCTTTTCTTGACTGCTATTGGGTTGGATCTTTAGACTTTATTTTTTGGGGAATTCAGCGGATTTTCCACTCAACCCACAAAAAGTTAAACTTTTTGCAGAGGGCTCAACAGCAACCACGCTTGTTTCCCTTCCAAACAACCCCAAGGGCGTCCCCGCGAAAAAGTTGTCCCGCGCAATCGACGGAGGTTCGGCTCGCTCGCTGTTGCCATAGGTTCTACATCGCCGAGGTCAAGGGCATCGAAGGACGCTCGGCATCACTGCACTGCAGCCCAAGCCCCAACAACGCCTTCCTGCGAGATGGCGCCACCCAAGAAAAAACGCCTTGAGGCCTTACCAAGAGCTTTCATCAGGGAGGCATGGCGCCACCCAAAAAAACAACAACACCTGATGAGTGCATTACTAAGAGCTTTCATCAGGGAGGCCTGGGGTGGATGTGTTTGAGTACCAAGGTGATGTGCAACTTGGATGGGGTCATTTTTGGGCAGCTTTAGCCCGGGCCCCAAGGACACTTATATGGGGATTCCGTCATTCGGCTTGGTGAATTGTAGTAATTAGTGCAGATGGTGGGTGGTGGATTTTTCAGGCCTCAGGCCCTGACTCCTAATTTGGCCATGAGCAGATGTGCCGCAAGAAAATGGGTTGGACATGGGACGCACGTTGGCAATCCAGGTATGCAAACACTGATCTCATGTGTGGCCCATTGGTGGAGTTTGCCCAGCTGGGCCTTGTTGGGACAGGTCTCATATATGACCATTGGCGGAGTATGAAACAGGCTTACGTAATGAGGAATTGCAGGTTTGTCTCGTTTCTCCTCACTTACTGCTCCAAACCGGGGAGATACTGATGATGGTCAGCGTGACGGGGCCCCGAAGTAATAACCCTACCTGGTTGCAAAAAGGGCGTCCCGTTTTGGCTTGTAATTTATTTGTTCATGTTGTTGTTTTTGGTGAGGGGGGGTGGGAAGCGTGAACACCCCTTATTGATCTGCCAGATTGATTAATCCGTGCTCAACATGACTTGCGGCCTGGAGGCTGGTCATTTCGGGACATCCTCTTCGCACTGGGGGCATGCATACCCATCGGGTACATGCTGGAGACGAACGAGGCAAAATGCTTTCGGTGGAAATAGTCGGCTGCATGCCAGCCGAATTCCCTGAACACAATGCACAAGAGGGGGTTTCCAACCGTGCGTCATGACTTGAAAGGCCCCAGTGGCACAGGATGAGCAGCCCCATACATGCATGATCACCTCATTCTGCAATACCACAATTGCCCAGTGCCATGTTTGTCCCTCTTCTTACTGAGTGACTTTCCTTTGACATCAACCAAGAAAGAATGATGCCATCCAACTTCGGTCTGCCTTTGTTTTCAGGGCACCCGGACATCGTGGGTTTCAAGGGAAACCAAAAGGAGAAACACTGTTTTGGGGGTTAACTAAAAGAAGACACGCCCATTTGGAAAGATTCCAAGAGACCCATCCTTGGATGCGGGTTTCTGTTTTTGGAGACTCGTCTCGGTGCCCTTTGCCCAGGATCCAAGCTTTATCAACCCACGTGCCCATTGGCCGCAGCCCAAAATGGTGCTCTTCCCTTTTGTCTGCCTTTAAACCAACCCACACGGTTCTGGGTGCTATATTGCCCATTGGTGTTTAATTTACCCGATAAGAAGAAACAGAAGGGGATGGGTATGTTTAAAGACTTTTTCCAGACCTATTGATCCCATCCAGGGTACCAACTTCCAAAGAAATCCTCAGGCTTGGGCGACAAGCGGCGAGGAGTGCATTTGCCTAATTCATGGCGAGCTTATGTCGGGGTACAACGAGCTATGGTAAAGATTCTTTTGGGGACTCCTCAGCTCTGGTTTTGGACATAGATGGTGCTGCAGATTCCATAGGTGGTGATTCCATAGCTTGGCGTTTCCCAGCCACCCTCTTAGCTTTTTAGCTTTTTCGTTGGTCTAGTGGTGTTTATCCAAAAGTCTTCGACTTTTAGCTGGGGATCTGAAAACGGACAGCCCATAGGTGGAATCTGTCAACAAATCCGGGGATTCCCTATAGGTGGTGCTGCTGCCCCCAATGGAGCACACCTTTCTGGGCACGGAGCGCTTGATCTGCCTCTCTGAGGCTCGGATTCGGCTTGATCGGTCGATGGGTTTTTTATTTTTATTTTTGATTTCCCGGGGTGTTTTCTGTTTTTTTTGTTTTTTGCCTTGGGTTTCCTTTTTCCGGCGTATGTTTCCCAAAAGGTGCTGGAAGTCTCGTAATCTGAGGTTTTCCGTGGTTTCGGGGTTTCCCTTGTTTTGGAGGGTGGTGTTTCGCGCTGTGTTCCGTGTTTTGGAAGTGGAGTGGTGCCCGTGTTATTTCTTTTGGAGTGGGGCGTCCCTGTCAAATCAGGTCGGGAAAAGATTCTTCCTCCCGCCATGTTAGGACAGGAAAGGGGTTAGGGGAAGGAAGAGGTGAACTCCCGGGAAATGAAGCGATCTCAACGTTCAGGCTGACCAAACATCTTGTCCCTTATCACCCTTACATTACTGAAGCCAAGACATAGAAAGTGAATCCCTGGTATGCTCGTTGATGGGTGCGAACATTCATAATGTCTGCATGGGGAAAGCATCCACAAAAGAGCAGAACATTGGGCATGGGATGGGTCAAAACCAATGGTACCATTTTGGGGTAGGTGCACCACCCATTGTAGTCTATTTCAGTGGGGATTGGGATGTTCACTGGGGGTTTGGTCTTTTGACCCATGGTCATGTGCTGGGCAAAGTGTAGCAACCTTACAAACTTTGGTTGCTCACCGCTTCCAGGATGTGAAGGTGTTTCTGTCCCATCTGAGAAGCTTAAGCGGGTTAGCTTTGGGATTGATCGGCAAATGAGCACACAAAAGCAACGGAAAGTTGAAGGTTAGGGCATGTTCCCAAGCTATAGAAATAATGGCCTCGATTGAACGACTTATCAGATGGATATGTTGGATATGTGCACGGGTGGGACAAATAGCTCCATTCCTTTCATAGAGTAGTTATTTTGTTGGCCGGGGTCCTCTCTTTTGGAGTTTGTTGCCCTGAAGTTCCAAATCGGGTTTGTGTTTCATCGTTCCCAAACGTCCAAAAGGTGATCGCCTTTTATGCAACAAGTTGCTTCCATTGCAAGGACCAAGACCTTGCACAGCTATTTGGTTGGAAGAATGCACATTCTGCTCAGGGAACAGCCTGTGGGCCGTTTTTTGGGCGCTGATGGCTTGCCGCGCAGAGTCTCAGCACCCCAGTTCTTTTGAAGTCAAACTGGGAAGGTGGCCCGGAATGTGCCAACCAACAAACCAAAGGCCATGAATTCGAGTCTGTACCGCTCGAATTCGATTTTCGAGTTCCGGGACTTTGCAGGATGCTTCAACGCTACCCGTGGCCATTGCCCCAGGACAGCGATCATGTTTAGAACCAGCGTCAGGTAGATAATGGATATGGGGCAACTGGGCTTCTTATCTATGAAAGTCACCTCGAGAGGTAGCTTGAACGTCCAACGGAAGCGGATTTCTGGTCACAGGATGGTTTTAGAGTTGTGGAGGTGGTGGCGCAGACCTATGATATATGAATATATGTGACCTCCACACCTCCAAACCGGAACACGTTCGGAAGTGAGCTTAGGAGCCAGAAATGAGACCAAACCTTTGAGCAGAAACCAACCACACAAACCGCACCCACACCAAAGTGAATCAGGGAACAGGGGGTTCCCTTCACCAGTTCCGAGGGGCATCCAGCGTAGATCAATGATGCTTTGGTCTCTTTGGTTTGCTTGCCAGTCAAATAGCGTCAACGGCGGGCCAACTTGAAGTCCAGTCATGTCATGACACTTCCAAGAGATGAGTCTGTCCATTCTTTGCAAGCGTCCCTTCGCCAAGACAGCGCCAGCTGTGTTCAAAGTGGCGGTGGAAAAACTCGAATCCCTTGGCTTGTTTCCCCAGGCTTAAGACTGAGCTTTTTGGGACCGTTTTGCTGTTCGAAATGTTGACGTTTTAGCGGCGATCGAAGGGAGAAGTGGGTAGAAGTAGAAGTTGCCGCCCCTTCAAGTGCTTTTGCCCTTTGGTTCAGCTTGTGAGTTGTTCAAGAAACAAACCCAGGCATGTCTACACACCGTCCTTTGAAGTCTCCCGATGTTTTGACCACACCCACTTTCAGGCTTCTTTAAGCCATTTGATTTGTCCAGTGGATTCTAGCTGTATGTTTTGGGTTTGGCAGGTTCCACGAATGATCGGGTCCAAATGTTCCAATTCATCTCGTGTCAGGCTGGGTTCAGGGCAGCACTTAGGGGGCCGTATGCCCTGAGAATGGGGTGTGCCTGCGCCAAAAAGTGAACTCCAGTGCAAGGCATGGAGTCCCAAGCCGAGAAGCCCCTCTCAACCTGGCCTGTGCATAACCAAGTACCCCAGTTTCCTGAATGAGCAGCAAGTCCCGAAAGGAACATCGTCCAAGCAGAAGCCAATTTCAATTTGATGTTTTCGAATTCGGACTTCCCCTGCAAAAAGGACCCAACACGTCGATGTTTGGGCTTGGGAGGGCTTGGCATGCCGAGTGAAACTCGGCAGGAATGCACGAGAAGGTGACCAAGATCCTTAGTGCCCACACGCTGAGACCTACAGGTGGGTGCAAGCTTGTCAATCAACTCAGGGTGGTCCTGGAAACTAAAAACACCGCGTTGCGTCTTGCATAGCCAGGTTAAAGATTAAATCAGCCCCTAGCAGATCAATTCTTCACTTGAAACACCCCAGATTCTCAATTACTCCCATTTGACCCCCGCCTGAATTGTCTTATTTGGATTTCTTTGTTTTGGAAGAGGGCCATGTGAACAACAGTAACCAACTTCTCTAATTTCCATTGTTGAACGTTCTGAGCCCAAGAGTGAAGGGATTCGGACGAAGTGGCTTTAATCAGTGAGGCCGTCTGTTATCACGGTGCCTCAAGGTTTGGGGCACTGCCATGATAGGGAGGGCGTGTAGGCCGAATGGCGACCCCAGCTCATCAAATGTGCCGGGGGGGGGAGCTGGGGGAGGGCCGCTAAAATGGGACAGGTTCTTAAGCCAAGGGCTTAAGAATCCTGGGTCAAGCATGTTCTTTGGGCTGTACACAAATAGCTGATGCCAGTCTGACCAAACATGTCAGCTGGCTGAGGCTGGGTGATAAAGATGCACTTTGGAAAATGAGTACCCCCTTGCCTGGGAGTACAATGAGCTCACGGTAAAGGCTCTTACTTGGGGATTCCTGGCTCTGGTTTGTGACTTCCTGTAGTCTGCCTAGAACTATGTGCTGTCTCACGCCACTCGCGAGGCTCATCGGAGGATATGGTCGCTTGGAAGCACAAAAATATCTGAGATATCCCCCCGTCCACTGCCCAGTGAGCGTTGAGCTCCAGAAGCACGGGGCACACTAGCTGTGCTCAGGGCTGTCGACTTGCGGTTTCGGCCGCTGGTCTAGGGTAAAATACAGTTGCCCAACTCACAAGTAGCTCAACCAGCTTAAGTGTCGGGTTGCTGTGTTCCTCCCTGCTTGCAACATGTAGGGAATCCACTATGACAAATGCTGGCGCATAGAGCTGTGTTTGCTGCGCCATATTCAATCGACGACTTGAGCTGTTAGATTGCCCTCATTGGTTTCTGCTCATAACAAGATGACGCAGGCGCCCGAGAGGTTAGATCCCACATCTAGGCCGGTGAGGTCACTTTGCGCCCTTTGCATCATCTTGACCTTGAGTTGAGCAGGGCATTGGCCAGTACGCTGGCGATGTATTCACACGAGCCGAAAAACCATCAGGTTTGCGGGGGAACATGGAGGTCAAAGAGACCCACCCCCCAACCAACCCCCCCCCAAAGGCGATTGCTTTTGTTGATTTGCCGAAATGTCTCCCTGAGAGCATAGAACGGAGGTGTACGCATCCCTGACCGCCTAGGTATCGCAAACGCAGAAAGCCTTGATCATCGTCATCGGCTGGAACGAGGGCATCGGCTCCATCATGTATCTGGGCTTTTTCTTGTTGCGAGCTGGCAACATGTTCCGGCTTGGCTCATTTGTTCAAGGTTTTCGCAGTTGGGTTCTCCTTGAAACGGGAAAACCATGACTTGTGCAGGAGTCTAATTGCAGCCGGGTGCTGGAAAGGGGCGTTGGACCCCAACTAATCAAAGGGCACAGGTTTGTAAAGAAGTCTCCAAGTGGCAAACTATAGCAACCTCGCAAAGGGTCGACCTCGCCCGAATGTGGAGAATCTTTCACCGACATCTTTGTTTTGTTGGTGGATTATGCTTATTGGCATGTGAGAAATGGGCATGTCAAACCACATATGGAGCGGGGGTGCTTCCAAAATCGGGAATAGGACTCCATTTGGATAGTAGCCTCTCAAGTCTTTAAGGGAGTCTGTTTCGTTTTTTGTTTTTTTTTTTGTTTTTTTTAAGAAAGGGTGGTCAAACGGTGCGTGAAATCCTCATGCGGCATTGTCAAAAGACATGCTTCCGTTTGCTTCAATCGAACTCACCTCCTAACATGACATACCTACCTACTCCTATAATTAGACTTGTTTACCTAATATTGCATACATTGTCCACCCAAACTTGACTTGCTGCTACCCAGGAGAACCCTTCAAGAAAAGGAATCCGTTTGTGCATTCAGCCTTTGGTCTGGTCCCCTCCTGCCTGGTAGTGTGTGGGGGTCTATGACTTCCCCTGCGACTTTTTCAGGGTTCACACTCATGAATTCAATCCACCATCGCAAGGGCTGGGATTTTCCTGAAGTGCCAAGGAAGAAGCAGGCACCTGGTTATTTGGCTTTGTTTGACTGGCACAATCCGGAAGTATGCAGTGAAGGCCCAAACCCGTAGGGCTCTACAAACCATCAGGCCAGGGCACCTTCTGTGTTTTTCTTGGCTCTCAAACACCCGTCGATTCCCCACAGCCTACCGGCTCCAACTTTCGGGGAGCTGCGCTCAGGCACGAGGTAGACTTAGTGGTGGCCAAAGGCTCCTCCGCCGCTGGGCCTAGCGAAAAAACACCACACCGCCAAAGGGGGGGGGGTTTGGCCGTGGCCCAAAGTCGGCAGCGCCGCAAAGTGGGCTTAAAAAGATGTAGGTTTACCCCACCCTCACCCCCCCCAAACGCGAAATACACGTTGTTCGTGAGAATAAACGAAAATCCAACAGAAAACCGGCAAAGAGACAAGGGACACAGAACTGGGCTGTCTCAGTTCAAAGCGAATGGACCGGATCTGACCTGTTGGTTTTCTTATGGGCAAGCGAGCTGACCTATACCCAACAGTTGGGATTTCAGTCCAGTTCTCAAACGAAACCTGAGTTCAGGGACTTGAGTACCACTTTTGGGGTTTGGAGCTTTTCAATGGCAAGCGAAAAGTTTTGGGACATTTTGTTTGTTGTGAGTCCACTCAAGAAGTGAGATAATTCTTCCACCCGGCAGTCTGGAGCAACCAACTGTTGGGATTTGACTGGGTTTCCATTTATCGATGTCCTCCGGTTTGTGGAATATCCTTGATTGGGTTTTACTCCCAGTTCAATGGATTCCAGGCAAGCGCATTTCTCCGCAGATTGTGACAAGTCGCTTCATCAAAAACGTCATCCGATTCTTTGGACTCCCTTAAGAGATTTCCCATAACCTATATAACATATATCGGGACTCCCTCAACAGATTTAAATATGTGGGCTTGTATGGGTTGTTTCTCCGTTATCCAGATTTTGACGCAGGGCCAAATCGGAAGGAGCACTTTTGAGAGCCGAAAGGGATATACCCAAGTCCACAGTTCTGCGAAGCCAGAAGGAAGCCAGCCAGAAGGTGTCGGAGACACAAAGGCAGCTTAGCCTCCAGGTAAAATAAGCTCAAGATGTAGGTCCTTCATTTGAAGAATCCGCCCGTATTTCAGGCTTCAGCATTACAAGATGTGCAGACAATTTGCTTTTAAGACCTTACTTTCAGCCCAAACCTTGGGCGGACCTTGGAGGGTGGGACGGCCTATCACGCCTGCGCCCAGACTGGGCGGTGTCCATTTAGCTTCCAACCCAAGCTGCTGAAGCTCATTCTGAACCAACTCGGTTGAGGCTGTCACCTGTTGTCAACAGCATCTTGGTGGCTCCCAGCCATTCAGTTCCTTAGCCTTTTGGGTCTTTAGTGTTTAGTGGTAGTTTCGATTTAACCCACTAACCAACTAAGAGGTAAACATTTAGCGGGGGATCTGAGGGCAGCCCAGGGATGGGAGCTTGTTGGGCAATGTTGAAGACGGAAATTTGGGGACTGGTCATTTTACGTGTGCTGTTGTTTTTTCTCTCAGAGATTATGTTTCGAGGCAACGCGTCAAAGGACGCCGACTTTTTCGTTGGATCCCCCAAGTTTAGGAAGCAGTTTTTTTTTCTCCGCGGTCAAAACCCCTTTACTTGGGGCTGGTCGCATCAAGCGTTTGATAGGGAATGTAGACAGGCGGTAGTAGCATTTGTATAGGGAATGTAGATAACCGCCGTAGAAGGATTTGTGTCAGTGCATCCTTGCAACCAGGTGGTCATTTACGCGCCTGAAGACCCGACCTTCCGCGAGGAATATTTGGACGCGTCTCAGGCTCGCGGGAGATTGCCTGGGATCTCATGTTACATGTTGAGGTTTACAAAATATGAGTGTCTTTGTTTTTGGGGGGGGAACCCCAAAACTGTGGTTTTCGTTTTGGTGTCCCTTTAAAGCTCAACAATGGGTTGTGATACAAACCCAGTTGCTCTGGCATTTGTCCTTTCACGGCTCCTCCCTTTGCGTTTGATGAACCGAAACAGAGTTTACCCACTGGTGCATCGAGAAACTCTTTGACTTCCCTTTGCTTAAGATTTTTTGTTTTATGATCTTCCCTTCCTGTTGAAGGAATATGGCTTATTCTTCCCTGGTTGGTTTTAGAGGGACAAAATCTCACCCGGACGCACTTTCTCCTTTTCTCCCGGCGGAAAAAAAAAAAGCCATTGGACGCTGATCCGATGGATTCACGGCCTCTCAGCTTCAGGTCCAATGGCTCGGAGTCTCGGAGCTGGTGGGGGACCCCTGGGCGTTTTAGGATCTTTGAGTGTTGGAGTTTCCAAACTTGGCCCAGTAAAAAGTAGTTCTGTTTTTCAACGTTTAGCAGGATTTCAAAAAGAAAAGAGGGTAACCCAGGCTCTGTCGCAACCTTCCTCCGCCCTCGACCGGCCTTGGGTTGCAGGGCTAGGCTTCATTCGCCAGACATTCCACCGGTCGAAGAAAGATGGCTCGTATCAGTTAACAGCCGGAAAATTCAATAAAAAGAGATCTCACTTCATGGCCTTTAGTCACTTGTTTTGGAAGACCATTGTAGCAGGAAACAAAAAGTTTAGCCCATCCACTCAGGAAGCCCGTGGACGCCTCAAGGATTTCTCAACCCACCGCGACTCAGGGCGGCATTGACTGGGGTCGCTTGAGAGCCGAAACGGCTTGTACCCAATGGGTGTTTTATTTGAGGGTACCCTTTCAAAGGAAAACCAACAGGATGACCCACGATTTTGGGGGTCCACCAAGAAAGGCGCACCCAATATGTGCATAGAAGAACTGAGACGTTCGTGGTGTTTCGAGGATTCAAAAGGCTTCAAGTCGAAGCCTCGGAGGTGCGACGGAACTACAAGTACCAGAACCTCACTGTGCCCTACTTGCGCACATGCCTCCATCGCTTCGCTTACTAGATTTTATTTATTTATTTGTATTTATTGTATGATTTGTGTTTTGGGGGGGAAAAGAGCATAGCCTTGTAAGAGGGATTCAGGAATTTACCCAAGAGCACACGGCTGAGTTCTTAAGGTAACATGTGGGTATGTCCTAGGAGTCGGGGACCCCACAAATGGCGGTTTTGCTTTTCGTGTCCCTTCAAAGCCGCTCCAAGAGAAGTACCATCGAAAACGGACACGCGCCTTTTGAGCTTGTACATCCAGGTCCTTTGGGAAAGTGAAAAACGTTGGTGGAAGCCACGCCACAGTACCAGTCACAACTGGAACCCCCAGAAACGGACAACATTCGGAAGGATCAGAAAAGCATAGATAATGTCCCCCCTCGAGGAGCATCAACTGTTTAGAAGGGGGCGGGGTGATTTTTCCAAAGTGGACACGTCGTGTGTGTTTCCCTATCTTTTTTTTCCCGGAGCGAAAGTCCCTTTCAATTCGACTGCCACCAACTTCGCCTGCTGTTTTTCCAACGGCCACCAGAGATTTGAGTTTAAACATGTAAGTGAAGCTATGTGACGCCGCCCGCTTCCCAGCTTGATTGGGCTCAACAGGGCCCTTTTGTCAGAAACCCTACATCAGGCAAGAAACAATGGCAATTGGCCTGTCGCCTTGAGGCTCATAAACCCCTTGGCCCTTGCGCGTTTGGGCATCGGCTAAGGTTTTTTGACCAAGCCGGGCCCTGGGGTCTTTGGGCTGTGTAACCTGCTGACACTGGGTGGCGATCAACCGAAGGGGTTGAGCGGTCTGTCTTGTTTGGTGGGATCTGATGCAACTGGGACATGTGCGTAGGGAGAAATGTCAACAGGTTGATTCCTTGTTCCTCACTCATCGTCCTTTTAAGAAGGCCATCATCCATATATTAAGCAGGCTGACGCCTGATGCCGCCGACCCCCCAATATGCTTTTATTGTTGATGTTGTTTTAAATATTGTTTTAAGAATTCGAGGTACGAGGTAAACATTATAATAATAATGATGATTATTATTATTAATTGGCCAGATTCGCAAAAAGAGAAGAAACAAGAAAACAGAAGTAACTCTAAGGTATACTAAAAGATGGACTAAATCTCCTCGAAATCTTAAATCAAAGAAAATAATACCAGAATAAAACTCACCAAACATAAAACACGTGTCCAAAATAAGATAGGTAACGAAGGCATCATCATCATCATCATCAGCATCATCCTCACCTCATCATGCATCATCACCATCAGCATCATCATTCATCGACATCAACATCATCATCATCATCACCACCACCATCATCATCATAATCATCATCATCCATCATCATCATCAGCCATCATCATCATCATCATCATCATCATCATCGGCATCATCCCCATCATCATCATCATCATCATCATCATCATCATGACCATCATCATCATCATCATCACCATCATC